CTTGATTTTCTCGCCGAGTCACATGTCGAATGTTCGTAGATCTACAAACCTGTTGTGTGTTTCTCGTGGATTCGACGAACAAATCAATGCTGGGGGAAATCAACTTCGTAATCGATCCCCTACCCGATCGTCGAAGCGAAAGACTGCGCGCTTGCCTGCTCCTCTGAGCCCCCCTGGCCGCGATCGCCAGGCGCCTGGTGGCGCGTATCGCGCAGCCCCGCGAGATTTCGCGCGGCCCGATCGGGGCGCTCGCCTTTTATGAACTTACGGCAAGGACCCGCCTTGTCGACATATAAGTATGTTAACCAGCGTGTTGGACAGATATCTGGTGCGCGATCGATGTGGTGCAGTCTACGTGGAACAATCCATGTGGTGCGATAGGTGCTGTGCAGTCTAGGCTGTGCGAGCCATGGTTTGCAATCTTTGTTGAACCATATCTGGTCTGCACCAACAATGCACACCGGATATGGTTCAACAGAGGTTTTCGTTGCTCTCAGGACGCTCCTCGTAATCACGGCTAGGAGTGGCTCGGAGGGTGGCGGGGTCGCCCGGTGGGCCAGGGCTACGATTTTGCAGAGGCGGCAAACCCCAACGGCGGTGCCACGGAGGTGCCGTGGAGGGATTGCTCCCACAGAAGAGCTCGGTGGACCCAACCACATGGCCCACCCCCGGCTCCTCCGGCGAGACCGTCGAGGATGTTTCCAGCGAAACGCTCCTCCTCCTCCTCCTCCTCCTCCTCCTGCTCGAGCACAATGAGAGCCTGGGGCCAGGAAGGTGTTCAAATGAGCGTCAAACTTACGAGGAGCGAAGGACATGAACCCGCTGTGAGGACATCCCGTCTGAAAGTGACAGTGGGGAAGGTCCGGGCCGGGCGAACGGGGAGGAGGGGGAGGAGGGTTGAATAGTTAACTTGGCAAACACAGGGGGGGGGGGAGGTTTGGGAGGGGGAAAAAGGGCTGTAGGCGAGGCGTATGATTATTACCACGCCAGAAGGGTTGCATACATATGGGCATGCAAGAACACGTTATTCATATTCATGTTCTGTTTAACCATAACATTAACAAAAGCTTACATTCCTGAGTATTGCGGGAGTTTCGATTGTTTGCCGCCGTGCGTAGAGAGTAGGAGATGGTAGAGTTCCAGGGGGTATGGGGGACACATGGTCAATCTGATACGGGGGCCCGTACGGGGGCAAAGAGCATGTAATGGTGCAGTGCCCCCCTGAGACCTCTTAGGATTTACAGCCCGCCCCCCCGCGTTTCCACCGCCATCCCCTCATTGGAATCATGGGATTGACATTTGTGGCGTCGTCATCAGTAGCGATTTTGGCTAGGCACACACAGGGTGCTTGCGCCCGCTGAACGTAGCTCTGATGCTCACAGAAACGACGGGCCTTTCGGATGTTTGCTGATGTGTTCGCCCCTGGCCAAGAGGAGGTGCCGCCCCGTGAGCCAGGGCCACCCGATGGCAATCGGCGGGCCGAACCCGTCGTTGCTCTGCCCAAACGTGATCCCAGGTTACTTGGCAAATTGGGCAAGATGAAACAGACCATGAACAAAACAAAAGACATGTTGAACAGGACTGCCAATGCATTGATACCTTCACTCGTGCGCTCATGTTTGGAAGCAGTATTCACGAATACGGACACAAGAACCGTGATGCGAAACCAAATTATGACAGATGTTGGATCGATCACTTTGCCTGGGAGCTCGAGCAAGAGGGACTTTCCAGACCACGTCGACAGGGCAGTGCTCTCTCATTTGCACGCTCAGGCCGTCGGCCTGCGAGATTTTATTACGTTGAAGGGCGGTGATCCGAACACACATGCAAGCATCAATATATTCGACGACGCTTCAATGATGATTGCAAAGCCTGCCAAGAACATGCAGTGCGTTGGGCCCTTGAGGGACGTGCTACAACAGAAATTCCAGATCAGAAAACGGAGGAAGGGCATGAACATGTCTATGCAAGTTCTCAATAAGGTCGCTCGTATCTAAAGTCGGTTGCCCATTCTAGATCATGTTTTCGTGGGAGGCTTGTTTTTTTTTTTTCGCATGTTGCAGCGGAGCTGCATCAGACGGGACATGTTTTTGGTCGCCAAGTGCGGGGATGGGGGGGGGGCACTTTTGAAACCCGTAGTGAACAATTGATGTTTCGGGGACGCCTCATCGAACATTAAACGACCAAGAAAATCACCCCCAGGCCGGAGGATCTTGCATGGGCGACCGACTCCCCTCTGACCAACCACCCCTTCCAGAAAGTATTCGCCAGACTCCGCCCCTGAAGGTTGAAACGTTGTTCAGCGTGGACCTTGCTTACGCAGATAGCGCAGCGCAGCCAGCCACAAAGCCGCCTCGCATCCGAGGAGCGGCCGTCGTAGCCCCAGCTCAGGTGCTACCCCAAGCAAATACATCTACTGTCCGACGGCGATTGATTGATTGGTCAGTTATGTCTACGAGCGGCCCTGGCGCCAAACTTGATATCGGTGGTGAGCCCGCGGAGGCACTCGATTCCACATCATGGAAGACCATTGTGCACGTTACAGACAACCTGAGCCTCAACCATTGCATTTTTGGCTTGGAATGTCGGAAATTCGACCGCGATCGTGGCACCACCCTCTTAGGTATTGATTGTTGCGGACACTCGATCGTTCTTGGGTTGAAGCCGACTTACAGGAGATTGAACAACTTACCTGGAACTCTTGTTCGCTTGGGCCACATATTGGAGAATGGAAGGCGCGAGGAAAGTCTTGGCAGGGCGATCGAAGCCGAAGTGGCAGACAGTTTCCACTGCCGACTGGTTGACGCTATGCCTGCAAATTTTGAACAATGGCGCACCGAGGCCACTAGAATACTGAAAGCGTCTCGGCCTGCATTAGACATTGACGATAAAGAGGTAGCAATGATTCTGGCGGGGGACAACGGCGACTGGAGCCAAGACGAGGTTTACCATTGGTGCTTGAGAGGTCAGTGCCCGCTGGGGTGCAATGGAGATCGCGAGAAGAGCCTTAAGCTTGTTACTCAATGCATCTTGACTTCGGTTGGGCGAGGGTACGTTACCCCATGAGAGTACCGATGGAAAGGGATGGAGAAAGCTTCGTCGAAGGCTTTCCGCGGGCGCAGACAGCATCGTTTACTCGATCGGGCGTTGGGGCGCATGTACCCCAAAAGCACCGTCGATAAAGCCCGTGCGAATGTCGCTCGCGTCGGGGAGCAGGAGGCCGACTTCGCCGTCAAGAGGCAGGTCAGGGCTGGCAAGGTCACCGACGCGTTCAATAGGGGCCCGCAGGTTATGGACCTCGAGGCGGCCCAAGTCGTGAATGCGCCTGGGCAGACATTTTTGAATCAAGTTTTCAAGGCCGAGTCCGTTGCCACGGACGTTATCGATGAAAGCATTCGCACTACCCCTGCCCATGTTCCTGCGGGCACGTGGACCGACGCCCAATGCAAAGCAATGGCTACGAACACCAATTTCTTAACTGGGAAACTTGGGAGGGACGCCGTCAACCGTTTTGCTGAGATGGTCCGTGATTTTCAATGCGACCACTGGGCATCTGCAAAGCTTCCGCTTTCGCAAAAGGCTGAAGTATGCGCTGGCTTGTTAGACAACATGGCGGATTGCTACTATCGTGTGGTCTTCAAGTTTGAACAACCCAAGTTCATGCTGTTCGGTATCTGCAACCATGGAGTATTCGACATGGGCGTCATTCGAAACGTTTGTTGGCCTGGGGGGGGGGGGTGGGGGGGGGGCCGGGGGGGCCCTCGAAACGTTTGTTGGCCTTTACGAGACAAACGGATGGAATGCGACTGTTGTACAGATGAATACTTCACTGATGTTTGGGTTGAACGGCTGTTGGGTGCGGACGTTGTGGCTAAGCGGGCTTGGAGATCCTTATGCGGGCTTCTCACAATTTTGAAAATCAGTTCAATACAATGCGAACAGCAGCATCTACTTGGTCAGGAACTCAGATCACAGAAACGACGAGGACGAGCACCAACAGTTGCAACTCTCAGCAAGCTCACATATGCGAAGGCTGCTCGCAAGGAGGCAGCAATCGTTTTAAGACAGGTGACGGACAAGCACTTGCCGACGCCAATGCACCGACGGAGGTTCGTGCAATCAGTGTCTAAGTTCAAGACGACGCGGACTCACAAGGCCAACCGGAAGCACGAGAAAGATGTGGTAGTCAAGAGCTTACCGAAACCGCACCAGCAGTTCAAGAAGTCACGTGGCATCGACATGTACACCAAAGCTCACTTCCGCGATCAACCTGCTCACTTGTCCGTGCCCCAGCGCACGCGGCTGACACGGTCTGCATGGGAGGAGTTACCAACGGCGGAGAAAGCGTTCTACGAGGGGGTTGCTGATAACGAGACCCGTCAGTTCATCGGTCAGGCGAGCGAGGTTTTCACGGAGAGCGTCGACAGGCATGCCGTTGGGCGTCGTCTTCGTGGGCGTGTTGGCTCTGATTGCCACCGCGCCATGGCGAACGCGATAGAGGCGATGCAGAACGATGAGTTGTGGGAAGCTGGCACTCGGCTGCACTGCCTTGAATCTGCTTTGAAGCCGAGCTTAGTGTCAACCAACTCTCAGGCCAGCATGCGACTCGAGTGTGCCAAACTGTTTGAATTTGATCAGTTCGCACTCGCAAATCCCGCTGGCAAGATGGAGCTAGACCCAGTATGCCACATGCGGTGCGCAGGCCTCTGCAAGAAGGACCCACACTTTGAACGCATTCACGGTATGTCGCAGCGTATCTATAGATCGGTGAAACGCAAGAAGTTGCAGCTGCCTGCGTTGGTGAAGGTTGCCGTGGATCTCGCACCAGCGCCACCAGTTGTAGAGCGCCACTTTCTTTCCAGAGTCATAGGGAAGTGTGAGGTCCTCTGGCTGGTTCGCGCTGAACTTGCCACTCCAACCGCGTTCACCGTATCGTCTGGCAGTGGCGCAGATATCATTACCACGTCCAACTTGGTTTTTCGCAGAGTTGCTAAACGAGGTTTCCTTGGCGCGGATGCCGACGGCGCTGGGGTAGGCGGGGCGCTCGACAAGCTGGGGGTCACGTGCTACTCCGTTGCCCCAGTCGAGGGCGCGAATCGGCACGAGGTCGAGGTCGCGCAGCTGGAGTTCGAGGCGCAGGCCCACGCCGAGGAGGTGCCGATCCACGACGTCGGCTTCTTGCCCTTCGGCCTCGGCGCGGTCAAAGGCTGCGGGGGTCAGGGGAAGGGGTAGGGCACGGGGTGGGAGGTTGAAGTTGGTCTGATGTGAGTTGGGGAGATTGGCGCCACGTGGAGGGGTCAGCATGGGAGGGCCGAGGTAAATTCGTAGTATAAGGGAAATGTAGTATGGGGTTTACTCGAATGCACCCCCTCCCTCTTCCTTTTCCCATATATCCCACCCGGAGAAAATCGTAGATTCTGGCCGGGGAATCTCGTATATTTCGGCTGGAGAATCGGAAGGCCGCCGGGCGGCCGAAGGGGGGGGGGTTGGAGGGTTGGCATGGGGCAAGAACAACGACATGACGGTGACGATGAGGAGGAGGAGGTGGAAGAGATATATATATATAGAGAGAGAGAGAGAGAGAGAGAGAGAGAGAGAGAGAGAGAGAGACAGAGAGAGACTCTAGACGGGGGGGGTGAAGGAGACAGAGGGAGAGAGAGAGAGAGAGGGAGGGGGAAGGGAGAGAGGGAGAGAGAGAGAGAGAGAGAGAGAGAGAGAGAGAGAGAGAGAGAGAGAGAGAGAGAGGGGTGGCGGGTGAGGTAGAAGATAGGTGGCGGAGGTGAGAGGAGGAACGCCATGGGGAGGAAGAGATGGACGGGAAGGAGGCTTGCTGAATGTTTCAGTTGCTTCTCTCGCCTTCGCCGCGCCAGGCGACGAGCTCGGCGTCTACGCGATCGAGGCGGCAGGTGGAGACTCTGGGGCCGACCGCAGCGGGCATGGTGAGATGGATGAGCATGGAGGGTTTCTCGAGTCTGATGCTTCGGGCCTTGAGTCGGAGGAGGCGAAGCCCCCCAAAAAAATTAAAGCTGAGCCAAAGCCGAAGCTAGTAGTAGGACCTGCAGTAGGACCTGCAGTAGAGCCCCCGCTAGTAGTAGGACCTGCAGTCTTGTCAGCAGGGCTTAAGGACGTGTGTTTGGCCCCCAGCAATCGCGCGTCGTGCCCAGCGTGCAACGCTAAGATTGGCCTTGGCACGTTCAGGTGCACATACAGGTTGAAAGCGAGCACCTCTCTGAGAGATGAGCGATACTACCATTCAGGCTGCGTTTCGGCGTTGTTTTGCGCAGCGAACAAAGCTGCAGACCTTGCACGAGTTAGGGAGCTGATGGATGAACCCGACATCCCAGAGGCAAAGCTGACTTTGCTTCTTGATTTTCGCAACCAGCTCGCAGAGCTGGGCGATTCGGGGGCAGCGGGCTCTGGCGGGTAGAGAGCATCGCTGTCAGCATGTCGTTTTCTTGTGTGGTGTCAGCGTCTTGCCAGCGCTTGCGTGCCAGGCGTGGTGATCTCAGACTCCGTGGAACTGCTGCCCGTGCGCTTTGAAACACTTACCCTTCGTGGCAGGGTTGATTAGCATCTCCCCGAAACTCAGCGCCCTTCCCAAGGTGGCTGAACGACCTTGGACGACCCCTGAACAACCCCTGAACAACCCTGAACAACCCCTGAACAATCCCTGAACAACCCCTGAACAGCATGATCCTCGATAGGGGTCGCTTGAAACACATTCCCTGAACAACCCTGAACAACTCCTGAACAACCCCTGAACAACCCTTGAACAACCCCGACCCGTCCTGAACAACCCTTGGGGGGCCCTCAAACCCGATATGGCCTGCCGCAGTGGGCCCTTCAGGATAAACAGATTGGGCCCTTCCCCAAAATGTTCTGGGCATCGCGCCCCTGGCAGCGCTCCCCGAACAAATCGGGGAATGCTCACGCCCCCGAAGACGACGACGACGACGACGACGACGACGACGACGACGATGTTTATACTCCCCCTTTCCCCAAAATGTTCTGGGCATCGCGTCCCTGACGGCGCTCCCCGAACAAATCGGGGAATGCTCGCGCCCCCGAAGACGACGACGACGACGACGACAACGACGATGTTTCTACTCCCCCTCCCCCAAAATGTTCTGGGCATCGCGTCCCTGACAGCGCTCCCCGAACAAATCGGGGAATGCTCACGCCCCCGAAGACGACGGCGACGACGACGACGACGACGACGTCGACGACGACGACGACGGCGGCGGCGGCGGCGACGACGCGGACGACGACGGCGACGACGACGACGACGCCCCCCCCCCCCCTCCCCACCCCCCTCCTCCTCCTCCTCCCCAAACCTCTTACGCTCGCCCCCTGCCCTCCCCCCCCTCCTCCTCCTCCTCCTCCTCCTCCTCCCCAGCCGCCGCGGCCGTTTAGGCCCTCTTGGCGGCCTAGGCGCAAGCAGGCCAGGCACTCAGGCAGCGCGCCGAACTCATCCTCTGCCCTTCGCGAGCGCATCGGCTTAGCAGCCCTCGGCGCGCCTGCAGCGCTCAGCGTCGATCGCGCCACTCCTTCAGGCAAGAGGAAGGGCCCGTTGAGCGACGCCGTTTCCGAGGTCAAGGCCAAGGCCGCGAAGACGGCCCAGACCCATGCCCAGAAGGCCAAGAAGGCTGCGCCAGCCTCCGGTGGTGACAAGCCTGGCGGTGGAGGTGGCGATAAAAAAGTGACGGCAGAAGAAGTGTGCAACATTGTCGATCTGCTGCGCACTGGGCCCCACGAGTGTGCACCGTGCGAGCAAAACACCCGCGACTTCGACCGTGATACTCCTAACAGGCGCCTCATATGGATGAAGCTTCGCTGGACTGCAGACGGGCTGGCTTTCCCACAAGGCAATGAATGCTACGTGTGCTTCCAGACGCGCCGCACGTACTATGGGGTTGCGCTGGCAACGCTGTTGGAGAAGAGGAAGGAGTGCAGGGAGTTGGACGAGAAGTATTACAAGGACAGGAAGGGCGTTGCGACTGGCGACGCCAACTACCAGAAAGCAGAGAAGCTCGACATCGACGAGTTCATCAAGGCCGCGAAGCAGGACTTCGACGAAGACTGCGAAGAGGGGACTTGGATTGAGCTGCACAGCTTCGCGGCCGAGAGGCGCATTCATTTCGAGAATGATCCAGATGATCAGAAGCTCACCGAGCACATCAGGGAGAAACTCGGCAAGGTCGTGCGCCCCGACTGCCACGGCGTCCTGGGCGTCGAAGTGATGGATCACGACAGTGATCGCAAGCGCTTCCGCCGCGGGACGAGGAACTATGTAGAGTCGGGGAAGCACGAGCGCCAGCAGGACAAGGGGGCCGACGAAAAGGCTGTGAACGAGGAGCGCTACCAGTCCCTGTGCGCCAAGCGAGCCGTTGCAGCTGCGATGGCTGGGTCGACCAACCCTTCTCGCATGGTCACGGCAAAGCAGGCGCCCGTCCTGTGGCCCGTGCGCCGATCCGATGGCCCCTTTGATGACGACGGAGCTTCATCGATCGCAGCAAGCTCGGGCGTGGTTGATGTCGACAATCCTCGGCCATCTCCGCGTGCGAGCCCGAGGTCTTCGTTGACACCAGGGCCTAATGTTGGCTTGAAACCTGTGCCCGAGGAGGCCGAGGAGCAGGACGACGAGGGGGAAGGCGAGGAGGCCGCATCAACCAGGGGCGCAACCAAGGAGGAGCGCATCATCGCGAGTGCCAGGGATGCGCTGAAGAGGGGCGAAGGTAAGACTTGGGAGGCGCAGTGGAAGGACAAGGCCATGAATCGGAAGAAAGACCTGGCGGGGTTCATTGGGAAGCTGCATCGGGCTGCTCGTTCATCTGGGAAACTCACCCACGAGCCTGATGCCCTGGACTTGTCGGCGTCGCTATTCGCCATTGCCGACAAGATCGAGCACCGCTCCGATCTCTTCCATAAGTTGCGGAACAACTTCGACGACCTCGTGCGCCAGCCGCTGTCGGACACAGAGAAGGGGCTCATGAGCGACGCCCCCAGCTCCCTTATCTGCGCGACCCTGGCATCGAACATCAGCAACATGATCTGCAAGCTCGGCTCGTCGGCGAATAACCTCCCCGACGACTACATCGTCGCCGTCGTGAAGGCGTCGCAGGCCTCCAAGGACAGGGACATGTTGACGCTCGGCTACCTGGACCTGGCCGAGTCGATCGTCTGCCAGAGAGGTTTAGGGATGCATGGGTAAGTCGATGGTGAGTTCGCGTTTGCAGGTCCCCACCCTCATCGTTGTTTGTGTTGTGTGTGTTGTGTGTGTGTGTGTGTGTGTGTGCGTGCGTGCGTGCGTGCGTGCGTATGCCAGTGCGTTTGCGGTAGTTGTGCGTGGTGGGAGGCGTGCGTGCGTCGTGGCTGTGCGTTCGCGTGTGTGCGTTGTTGCGTGCGTGCGTTAGGGTGTGGCGTTTAGCGTTTGCTGTGTCTCGCATGTTGCTGTGGTTTGGTGTTGTGCGTGTGATATTTTGTTGGTGTGAGTGCGTTATGGTTTTACTCTGTTCCCGTGTGTATTTGTGTTGGTTGTAGTGCGTGTTATTTTGTGGGTGTGTGTGCGTTGATATGTTGGTGTGTGCGTGGATGCGTGTGTGCGTGTCATGTGTAGTGTTGTATGTGTGTGTGTTGCGTGCGTGCCGCGCGTGGTGTTGCGTGCGTGCGTGCGTTTCGTGCGTGCGTGCGTGCGTGCGTGCGTGCGTGCGTGCGTGCGTGCGTGCGTGTGTGTGTGTGTGGTGTGTGTGTGTGTGTGCGTGTGTGTGCGTGTGTGTGTGTGTGTGTGTGAGTGTGTGTGTGTGTGAGTGAGTGAGTGTGTGTGTGTGGTGTGTGTGTGTTGGTTGTTGTTGTTGTTGTTGTTGTTGTTGTGTTCGGGGTTGGCCAGGGAAAAATGATTGTTCTGGGGCACTATGATTGTTCCGGAGCACTGCGATTGTTCTGGAGCTTTATGATTGTTCACAGGGGCCCTGCAAACGCGAAGCCATCAATCACTTATTTGTGCCTCCCTGAAGGCTAGCATTGGCGGATCGGGTATGGAGCGGGTCTTCTAGCGAAAGGATCGTTCAGCTAACTGCCAAGGTCGAGTCTGCGTTGCCGTGCTGGGACACGATCTGCGAGATCACGCCCCGGAACGTTGACGCGACCGAGTGGCACGAGCAGCCTGCGATCGACATGCACTGCATGGTGGTGTGCGCACGCGCGCTT